GTTGAATGTAACATTGAACATTTTCACCCCTCCAAAACCATTCAACCTCGGCTGCGCCTCGGTTGACAATGGTTTTCTTGGGGTGAAAATATTCAATGTTACACTCAACTGCATGCAATATTTATATATTGGTGGAGGGGATGTAAAAGAATTTAAAAGTTTTTGTTTGTGTACAGACTTGAAGCAGATGATATACCAACCGACAGCAGTAGTCAATCCGTGTGTTACGGTCATAGGAACCGCCCCCCCCCCCCCCCATCCCAATGAAATTGCTTTCTGAAAATGTGTTTAAATACTTTGCATATACATATGGAGAAATGGTGTTCATTCTGCTCATTTACATATTCGCCATATTGGAGCTATAACAGCTATAAAGGATTATATAGAGAACTTACAAAAAATTGCTAATTTTTATATCCGTGTGTTACTTTATATCCTCTACCGGAAATAACATATGCCAAAGTGAAAGGAACCGCCTTTTTGATTTGAAAATTCGAAGCGAGAGTACTTGTTTTAATGAAGAAAAGAGAACTGAATTAGTGTTTTTACATTTTTGGTGATTAAATGTAAGTGTTTATTGCATGTATGCGATTAATTGTCATTTTTGACTTGTCCTTTTAAATTTCGGAAATTTTGTCATCCCAATATTAACACTTCCTTCACTTAGAGAAATTCAAATAAAAAAGTCTGAAAATGTGTTTAAATACTTTGCATATAGATATTTTCTCAACATCAAATTACAACAATACAACACATGATTTGATTAAAGTTGTACTTAATATAATATTAAAATTTTAAAATTTTGATTCAAAATTGAATTCTGTGATCTTCCTCGATGTAAAAAATTTACTTATTAAAAATAAATGTTTTTACTTAAATTTTCTTCCTTCTTTTTTTTTTTTTTTTGGAGTGGGGGTTGGGGGGTTGGGGTGGAGTTAGCACCCTTATCGCATCTTGCTCTTCCTAATTCATATTTTGATTTAACACTGGGGTTGGCAACGGGCAGTTTTATATGCATTTTATGTACATAATCATCCTACAAGGTTGATCAAATTTTTAAGCTTTATATGACAAGAACTTACTTCTTGGACACGAAGGCCCATGTTTCAGGATGCAGAAGTTTCCGTTGGGCCAATATTGCCTGTTGCTGAATTGGTTCGGATTCCGGGTACAATAGTAAAATCGCATATTTTTATCAAACCTCCCTGAAATAAAATTAAAATTCAAATGTTTTTTCTCCATCTTTCAACATGCTGAATTTCACCAACTTGAAAATGTTTTGCATGTCAATTTATTTAATATGTCTCCTTGAGGTACCTGTACATGTATATAAATGAAATACAAAATTGGTTTCAGAAAATTAATTCCGTCTAATATCGAATGATTGATCTTACCTTCAAAATGGTGCCCTGGTGTGATGAAATTTCTATTGCGACTGTCCTCATTGTCCTGGAGTCTCCACCCCTCCAGCCAGCCCGTGGGACATCCAGATTTTGGTTTTACCAGGGTATACGTCCCTTGAGGCCAACTAACTAACGATATTTTTAAATATTGGATAAGTTCTTTCAATTAAAACATCTCTCTCTCTCTCTCTTATGTGCCACTAATGCACAAATTGAATCTGAAATTTGAAAATTCTAAGTATTGAAGAAATAGTATAACAGAGTCGGTGTAACATATAACAATTCGAATATCGAAAATGTTAAATAAAGTCTTAGAATTTTAATACATTATGTCAAATGTATGTAGAGCCTGCTCTTGCATATCAATCAACTGGGAGAAAAACTAATATGGAGAAGATAATGGTATATTGCCACATACATAAAATAATAAAAATTTTAAAACATAGGAACGGACAGACGAACAACGGACAAAATGTGATCAGAAAAGCTCACTATACCTTTCAGCTCAGGTGAGCTATAAAGTAACATTGTGATAAGTTAAATTATTAAACTGCAATATGCATGGTCAAAAGAATTCCAACAGAATCACTTAAAATGACCTTATAAACTTGCTTTTTTACAATGTCAAAATATGGAGGACTGAAGAATGGCAATTTCAAATAAAAAAAATATATTCAATGATTCAATGATATATTCAATTGGCACCTTTGAAAACATGAGGTCCATGGACCACATCGCTCACCTAAGCACATGAGCTAGGAAAAAGCACAAAACAGTTCAGCATTGAAAAGTCTACTGGGGTGGGGTGGGGGGTCTTGATTTTTTAATGATGCCTCTTAATCAATTTAGCACATAATATTGTTATTGTCAAGCTATGTTCTTGAAAAGAAGTTTTTCAAAGATTATTTCCTACATTTAGACCCCGTGGGGATCCGGGTTAGAATAGGTCCTTAGTACCCCCTTGCTTGTCGTAAAAGGCGACTAAATGGGGCGGTCCTTCGGATGAGACCGTATAAACCGAGGCCCCGTGTCACAGCAGGTGTGGCACGATAAAGATCCCTCCCTGCTCAAAGGCCCTGAGTGCCGAGCATAGGCCTTAATTTGCAGCCCTTCACCGGCAATGGTGACGTCTCCATATCAGTGAAATATTCTGGAGAGGGACGTTAAACAGTATATAATCAATCAATCCTACATTTAATCTTGTAGAAAAATCGATTTCCCATCGTGACACATCTCTACCCCCCCCCCCCCCAACCTCCCTTCTACACTCATGAATTGAACAAGCTACACTACATGAAGATTCTTCCATATAAATATCACCAATCATGGCTTTGCTGTTCTTGAGAAGAAGATTTAAAAAGATTTTTCCCTATACAATTCTATGTAAAATTTTGATTTTGATGGCCCCATCCTATACCCCCGGGCGTCAAACTTGAATTTACCTATGGATGCTTCTAAATCAATATCACCGATTCTGGCTTTGCTGTTCTCGAGATGTTTTAAAGATTTTTCCTTAGTCTATATATTTAAGGAATAACTGTCTTATTTTTCGAATTCATGAAGTGATCAATGGATTGGCTTGTGTGATAATTTGCATAAACGCCGAAGGCGTTTATGCATAAAATTATCACACAAGCCAATCCATTTATCATCTTCATGAATTCGAAAAATAAGACAGTTATTCCTTATATTTACATGCTTTGATTCCGCCAATCCACGGGCTCCAAGCCTGCTTCTCTCTAGGTGTTGTCCCGACCTACACGTGGTTTTTTTGGAACCGCGCCAAAACATTCATGAGGAAATAAATTACATTTACAATTGGTAATTTTATCTCGGACAAAGACATTGGAAATGTAAATATTTAAGTGTAATACTTTGATAACCCAATCTGGCCACACTCTCTTCCCCTGGGGTCATGATTTGAGAAAACTTTTATGCACAATTTTTATCTTCCTGGCCCATTGATTTTCCCTATGTAAAACTTGGATCGTCCATTGTGGCACCATACTAAATCCCAGGGGCCACCATTTGATCAACTTTCAATCTTCACAAAATTAGGATGATTCCACCTAAGTTTCATCTTACTTGGCCCGTTAGTTTTTGAGAAGAATATTTTTTGAAGATTCCATTAATTTTTTATTTAATCATAAATATTTCCCCTTGGAATATATAGTGTTTGGCCCTTCATTTGAACAAGCATGAATCCCCCTCACCCAAGGATACTTTATGGCAAGTTTGGCTGAAATTGGCCGAGTTGTTCTTGAGAATAAAATGAAAATATGAAACGTTTACGACGACAGACAACGGACACATTTTGATCATTAAGAAACAATGTACGAGTATTTGTACGTACCTTGTAAAGTTGGAGCAGCCAGAGAGAAAATGACTGTAATAGCTATTATTGACATCTTTCGGTGTTCTTTTCTTAAATGAAAATTTCATAATACATTTTTATTGAAACAACAAATTATAATAAACTGGTAAATAACATTTTTCAAAATCAAATGTAAGATTTTGATGTACGTGTACTGTGTATATAAGTAATGTTACCGTTTTAGTAAAATGTCATTTTGTAAATTGAATTAACCGGGTGACGGTAGATACAAAATTTACAGTTTTTTAAATAACCAAAAGAAATTTAAACAAAGAAATAAACTTCATTTGATAAATACCTGTACCTTGTATTAAACATTTCTAGGAATATAATATCTAATAGAACAAGAAAGAGAAATAAGCAAGAACTTTGAAGATAGACAAAGATAAACGATGAAAAATACATAGCACTTACCCAAGTATTTTCACCAAGATCTGGCAAAAATTAATTTTCATTTATTTAATATATAAAGTTTCAGCGTGAAAAAAAAATCGAATTTGTAACTCGATTAAATAATATGCTGACAGTGTGTAATTTAAATATTGTAAAACAGTTTGCATTTGTTTGTTGATAACCAGGATGCATGATAATTAGTTTAACTGGGAATTTACAACTTCCCATTAATTTTACTTTATAACAAGAGTTTGCTCATTACGTTGCGTGATTGAACTTTTTTTAAAGGTAAATAATAGGAAAAAATATTGTTTTACTTAGAGTCCTCAATTTATGATTTTTTTTTCTTTGTGGCATATGTATGATTAAAAAAGGGAAATGTCATTACCTTTTTTCTTGGCCCACAACTATTCAAGATTAGAAATAAATGATAATAATGTTCTAGCATTCTTTTAATATTTTTAATTTCAAAAAATGACCTCTGCAAAATCAATGTTAAAAAAGACTCATTTTAAGCCATCATTGGGAATCTATATGTCTGCAATATTATAGGTAAAGAAATCTTCAAAAATATTGACAGAATTTTTTAGGATCGTCATTTACTTTTGATAAAATTTTTGATAAATTATCAAATTTCTAATTTCGGGGGGATTGATGATTTTATTAATTTATATGAATTTCTTGTATATGTGTTAATTTACTTTTGGTACTTTTCTGCAACGGATATTGCCTAGCTAGACACAAGAGGAGAAAATAACGAATATTACATAATTACACTAGCTAGGCACAGGTGAAGACAGATAACGGATATTGCACGAGGTACATGCTGGCACAGGTGGTCAATTCATGATTATCATATTTAAATCCGTTACTTGTATACATTGTATAAATTTACATCCTGTCAATGTATAAGGACATTATAATAATTTTTATGCCCCCGGATCTAAAGATCCCAGGATTGTTTTTGTCCTGTCGGTCTGTACGTCTGTTTGTTTTTCTGTCTGTCTGTTGTCAACTGAAACCTATGCCATAATTATTGAGTGGGTGGGGCTATGACTTTCACATTTCGTGTATTCCCTGTGACAAGACCTTTCTTTTGGTACCACCAAATTTGACATTTTGACCTTGGAGTTTGACCTACTTTTACAAAAAATTACCATACTTTAACCTTTGCATAACTTTTGAACATATGGAGCTAGGGCTTTCATACTTCACATGTGTAACAAGACCTTCCTTTGGGTACCAACATTTTTTACCTTGAGCTTTGGAATTTGACTTGCATTTTCAGAATCCAAACCTCGTCATAAGCTGCCATACGGGGGCATCAGTGTCTCACAAACACATCTTGTTTTCTCTGTAAAGTATCCATCCATCTCGTTGATAAACATGCAAAAAGTTTAATATTGAGGAAAACGAAAGTAAGCATAAAATCTCAATTGTAATAATTAAATATTACTAATTGAAATCTAGACAACACTTAATTACTTGTCATGTACGTTTAATAAAGTTAAACTGTAAAATATGTCAAATTTTCAAAAAACTTAAATATACTTCCATGAAGAAAAAGTTTGCTACCGGTAAAGGGAGATGTCATTAAAACACAATTTAGATACAAATAGTGAAGAGAGATATCTCTTTACAATAAAGGGATATCTTTTTTTGCTTGAGAAATATCATTTTCGGCACTTTGAAAGATACATGTATTTCTTTCACTTTGAGAGATATCTCTTAAGATAAACTAGGAGAGATATCTCCTTCATCTAGAGATACATGTAAATATCCTAAAGTAAAAGAGATACCTTTTAAAGTAGTATCTCTTAGAAAAAGAGATATCTCACTAAGTGAAAAAAATAATACTTAATGTTTACGAGATACGAGATATCTCTTAAAAATGAGAGATATTTCTTAAAGTTGGGAGATATCTCTATTTTTTTTTAAGAGATATCTATATGAAATAAGAAATGTCCCTGTAATTTTTAGATATATTTCAATTTCCGACTAAATAGCAAAAGGGCTTGCAATAGTTTTTCTTGTTTTGAGCAACAAATCCTCATATCAGTGTATTTTGCTTGATTACCCTATCATATAATTTTTATGTATTTGTATCTTTGATAAGGTTGTATCATACTCGAATGTGACCATTTAGGCCCTTGGACCTCTTATTTAAATGTAAAGTTGAATTAACTAAACCTCTGAGAGACTTGAAGAGTCCTCTATGATTTATTGCCGTTCTGTATTTTTGAATTATAAGCCTATATGTTTGTATCTGCCCTTGAAGACATTAGGTATATAGATCGCTTATCATATCAGCTTTATTTCAAAAGACCTCTTCTTGTAAATGGCAAAACCATATCAAAGTGGTTACTTTGATTTGTTACTTTGAATAAAGACAACAAACTAATTGCTACATATAACGATATTTATTTTCAGTATTATGGTCGTTTTACTGTGTATTATCATTACACTCTATGGAATGTAATAACAGTAGTGCAAGTTATGGTCACGGCCACCACCGGCTCCTAGAGGGTACCACCCACTAAATTGTTCCTGTTATTCTTGTCCTCGTCATCAAAGTGTACGATCTCTTCTCTGACAAACATATCCTGGACCCGCTGACAAAACTCGCGGTATCTTAGAAGGTAAAATGGTTTACCGGTTGGAAGTATGATTATAGTTCTGAATGAACCATCGTTTCTAAAAGAAATAAAAAGATGATAATATATTGGTATGTGTTTCGTGACTGCAAATTTTATCAAAATAAAGCGGATTTTTACGTTTCAATAACTCAAAGGTTTCATATATACATAGAAAGTT